GGAATGGAGATCTTCCAAAGCAACCTGATGCGTGTCATGGTCAGCAAGTTTACAAAGAGAGAGTAAGATTTGTTGCTTGAGTGCAATATTTGCTAATTGCTTGGAAAGAGAAAATGATGTAGAGGAGGATGGGGTGGAGATTGGTTTAAGCATTTCACAGGTTTAGGGGATTTGAAAGCTTGTGTGCTCATCTTGCATGCTTTGCAGAGAAATGGGTGGTATTTTAAAAGAGGAAAGAGAGTCTGAGCCAGAGAAAGGAAAAGAGAGAGGGAGAGGGAGAGGGAGAGGGATAGGAATTTCAGTTAAGAATGGGATTGTAGAGAGAGACAGAGATTGTGGAAAACCTATGCCAATGTTCCAAATTTTCTATCCACGATTTATTATCAAATGAGGCCTGAAACCTTCACAAGTAATGCTATAAAATTCAACTTTTTCTTCTCTTTCCTCGCAATTTTTAGCCATTCAAGCAAGTCATAAATTTAGACTGCCTAATCCAAGCATCTTGACAAACAAGATGTGGTGCTTCTCTTTTGGCAACTTTTAGTTTACAGATCAGAGAAAGAAAAAAAAAATCCCACAACTTATGCCTTCTTTCTTTAATGCTGATCGTCAAGATTAATAAACACAGTGCATCATCGAACATAACAAAATGCCATCCCAAATTTCCATTCCTTCTCTTTCAATTCCTCTTAAGCCTTAACCAAAGACTGAACAATGCACAATGATAAAAACCCATATAAATCACACATGAAACAACCACATTATCAAACTTGGCAAACGCATATCCTACAAATCATCATTCATCATAATCACCACAGAGCTTAAATTCAATCACGCATCGTCAGAACAATCCATTGTTCATTCTCTTTCCCAGCAAAATATGATCGAAAAGGCATCAGTACGAAACCCAAAAACAAAGCCGCAAACAGAATCTCAATTCATCCACAACTTCTCATAAACCAAACAGACTCACATAATTAACAATATACACACCAACCAAATTATAATAAAAGGCAAGACAGTCTACACACATTGCCAAAATGAATAATAAAATCGAACAACCACATTTCACAAACCTGTGACAAACTCGTTACTACCCCCAACAAGGCCGCTTTCGCCTGGAAACTTTGTCCATTCAGCAACTTACAAATCCTTGGACACAGCTTATGAAATGCCCCAATGGCCACATTACCACCACTATCATCCCCTTCTGCAGCGGCACACTCCACCATTTTCGCCATACACATAGCAGCTCCAGATTGCACAACTTTATTTTGCTCTCCCATTGCTTCAAACAAAGGTCTCACAAACAACCCCACCATAGGCCCCGCACCATTACCATTACCATCCCCACCACCACCTCCTTCTCCACCAGCACCATTACCCTTCAAATACAACCCTGATAAAACCCCGATAGCATCTCTACAAGCATCTCTAACGCTAGAATCTGAATCTTTAAGCCTTTTAACAACGCAAGAAATGATTTTTGCCAAATGGGGTAATGTCAAATCTCTATGAGTTTGGCAAGCAAGTGAAAGAAGATGTAAAGATTCTTTCTTAACCGAGGGTTTTGAATTGGAGGTTTCAGAAAGTGAGTCATAGTGAGAGTTTAGCAACATTGGCAACGCATCAGGAGAGATTGTTTGTGTTATTGTGTGAAGTTCTTCAAGAGCGATCTGGTGAGTGTCACGGTCTGCAAGTTTAGAGAGACAGGTTATGATTCTTTGCTTGAGTTCAACCATGGCTAAATGGGTTGACAAGGAAGAGGATCTTGATGTAGGTTGGTTTTGGTTTTGGTTTTGGGGTTTTGTTGGTTTACTTGATTTGGGTGCTTGTGAACTCATTGATAATGGAATTTTTTAAGGAAATGCAAAATGGGTTTTGAAGGAAATGGAGGTTTTTAGAAAAAAGATTCTGGCTTTATAGAGAGAGGAAACAGGAACCTTTACAGAGAGAGAGAGAGCTAAGGCAAGGCAGTGAGGTCTGGAGATGATTGCATTTGTTGGGGAGAGGACATGTGAACTGTTGAAGAGAAGGCCAGAAAAACGTGAGATCTTTACGAGGTGTGAGAGTGAGGGAAAACAATAGGGATTCTGTTTGTTTGAAAATCAAATAAGAATTTAAATTGCTAGTTACAGATCAGATTAGATCACAATAATCACCATTGAGATGGGAAACCACGAGGTGCCTTCAACCTTTGTTTTTTTCCAAGTTGTCTCTTTGGGTTCATCATGGTGGGGTAACACAATGGTCTGATCAGATGATTTTGACCCTTGATTTGTATGACTAGTTAAGAAGTCTACATCTAATCGGTTGCGAGGGTCCAATTATATGGGGAGGGCCCTTTTGCCTGAGTTCTTTACTGTATATTTAGATTTGTTTGGAAGGAAGGATCGTAAGAAGAACAATTTTTTACAATGAATTCTTAAATAATGAATTGCCTGTGGAGTTGATGAATAGAAAGGTGGCGTCCACGTTTTAGGATTGACGAGGATGTAACTTCTTGCACTACCAATGTTCTTGCAATGGGAAACACCAATTATAAGGTGGTTATTGTGATTTTCACTTTCTACCGTGACTTACGGAGGTTCGCTAAAATTTATTTATTTTTATTTCAAATTAATTTTTTAATATTTTTATATATATTATAAATTGTAGTTGTAGTTATTTTTTAAATTATTTTTTATTTGAAAATATATCAAAATAATATATTTTTATTTTTTAAAAATTATTTTTAATATTAATATAATAAAATGATCTAAAAACACTAAAAATATTAATTTAAAACAAAAAAATAAAAAAAATTAAAAGCCTTTTTTAAAATAAAAAAATAAATAGAATTGATATCAAAAATATTTTTTTAAATAAAAAAATATTATTTTAATATATTTATAAATAAAAAAACAAAAAATTATTATTATCATACTTCCAAACACAAATATTTTCATTTAAGTCATGGTTTTGATGATTGCATTTCTTTTATTATAGTTATGATTAGTGATAGGCTACTAATATAGTCTTAGAGCTTGTAAATATATTTTGGTATGTTTAGTATTGTGATAACCATTGTAGTTGTGCTTTGAAAAAAAAATGTTTTATAAAAAATATTTTTTGTTGAGGTTGATTTGATGTATATATTTGGTTAAAATTATAATTGAAATTGAAGTTGAACAAAAAATAGTTTAATATATAAGGTTAATAATGTTTTTAAAATTAAGGTTATAAAATATTTTTTTAAAATATGTATTAATATTGATGGTTTTTAATTTAAATATTATAAATTTAACTATTGTTATTATATCATAAAATAAATAATACTTTATGTAAAATATTTTTTATTATTTCATTAAACTATTTACAATTCCATCACGTATAAAATACATTCAACAAAGACTATAATTTTTTTGGTCTTCTAAGCACGCAACAACATCAGTTAAAATAGAATTAGAAATAAAATTAGAATTATGATCAAATTCTGCAAATACTATATCATCAAACAATCTCTATCTAATTTATGTAGTGTCATTGAATAATGTTAAACATTAGTTTTTTAAATACAACATAATTAAAAAATAAAAAATAATCTTTGTTTTTTATTTTATTGGATCGGACTCGATTTAATGCATGTTGAATTTTGAATTGGATCCAGCTCGACCAAAATAGTGTAGTATGCTATATTGTTCATATTAATTACATTGTTCACTGAATAGTGCAATTAACATAAATAATATATAAGAAGTATGAATTACTTGCTTTTCTTTCTTTGCGCTTTGGATGTAAAAACACTGTGGGATCTATGAACAGTAAATCCTGTTTTTATCTTGATTAAATCACTTAAATTTGTGGTTTAATTAAAATACAGCCGCAAGCACGTAAACAAACAGGATCTGATTGTAATAAAATTTAATTTTTAAAGTGCTTTTCATTTGAAAAATATTTTTTTATATTTTAAAATTTATTTTTGATATTATCACATCAAATATTCTAAAAACACTAAAAAAATTAATTTGAAATAAAAAATATATATATTTTAAAATATTTATAAAATATATAAAAAAACAAGCTCTTAATTTTTAGAGTTAGGCTTCATTAGATCATGAGTATTGTGGTTAAATTTATTTTTTAAAATATCTTTTATTAAATTTTTTTTTTAATGATTTTCATACAATTATGTTAGAACTTAAAATAAAAAATTATATAATTTTAATTAAAATTATTTTTACAAAAACATTATACATCGGATTATAAAGCTCATTTAAAATTGATTTATTTTTAGATAGTATTCGGGAATATGATTAAAACTGTATTTTTTAAAAAGTTAATTTTTTATTGTTTTAATATATTAATATAAAAAATGATTTTTAAAATATAAAAATAAAATATTACTTTAAAATATTTCCAAACAAAAAAAATCAATATTCTTTTAATTATATATGTGATCAGTGACTATTGTTAATATTAGTGGGAAAGGGTATCAAGCAAGCTTAATATTAATTGAGTGCAGATTAATTTAACCATGGTTAACTTTGACCTGCTGGATGCAAGTAAGTTCATCATTCATAACTTTATTAGAAATTTAACGATAAATTCAATAATTTATTACAAGCTGAGTTGGAAATCCATTGCCATAATAATATTCTTCGTAATTTAGCTTAATAAATGGGATTTAACACGCCTCTTGACGTGGGAGTCTCTGCGTTGAGCAGAGAATTTATCCTATTTTTTGAACAAATTTATGTATCAATTTATATTAAATCTATTTAATAAAAAAAATTATTTTTCATATTAATATGTAAAATAATTTAAAATACTTTTTAAAATTTTTGAGAATCCGGTACACTCCAAAGCACAACCAAAATTGTGTTAGCTAGCGATTGATAAACTACCCCAACGGCCAAAACTATTACTGTTTGGTGTTCACCGCAAGAGTCAGAATTCACTGCGACGTGATTGGTTGCCGTGTTTTGCGAGCAGTCCTCGACAAAACGCAGAAAAGGACAAAACACCACCTCAAGAAGTCGGATTTCATAACAAAAGTTAAGACTTTAGATATGTTATGTTCTTTGAATGCGACATCGTCACACGTGGTATAAGCAAGCACTTTTAAGTGAAAAGATCTCAGTTTCACACAAAAGAAAGTTCTCATTTCTGGGTTTTGTTTCATTTTCTCGGTTGAGGTCAGATTCTTGATTTTTGTTGTCATCTTCGAATTTGGCTTGGCTAAAAAAAAAATTAGTGTCACTGGCTTGCTTTTGATCTAGGGTATGATCATCTTTTTATCTCCTTCTTTGACGACATTGCATTTGATTGTTCGTGGTTTGATTAAAGGTTGTTGGGGTTCTTTTGTTTATATATTTGATGTTAGAAAAATAAGCAATTTATGGCCTTCTTTTATGTCCAATAATTACTGGTAGTTGTTGCTGTTGGTGTATATCTGATGTTCTTAATGCGATTAATGACTCCCTGATATCTTTTAGGTCAACTTAAATGATATTAATGGTTTCTGAAATCTGGATAAATCTATCTATCTGATGTTTTCTCATTGCAATTGATAGCTCTGATTCCAATGGTCGTAGAGTATCTGGAACTTAGGGTATCATCTTGGGGTTCATTTTGCTTTCCGCATTTTATATACAAATGTGGATTCAAGATCTATTGTTGACCATGTTTTGAACCCTGCAATTTCTGGAACTTAATTTATTTTAATATGAACTCTTATGAGCTTATTACTATTGTCAAAAGTTGCTGGATGTTTTCTCATTTCTTTAACTAGCTCATGTTTGATGAATGTTTGCTTGGAATCAGTTGCTAGATTATACCTCTCGTTTCCTTAGGATCCAAATAAACCCTTTCGCTTTCTTCCTTGGAACTCTTCAGGGAAGATGTTCACTAATCTGTTTATCCTTTGTTTTTTACACGGTGTGATTTTTTTTTTTTTAAAAGTCTTCATTTTCAATTTGGGATGCTACCATTCTGTAAAGTATTCTGCATCTAAATGTCCCAGCTAGTTTATTTTAAATTTTTCTGTTTGTGTGTGTGTGTGTGTGTGTGTGTTTAGCTCTCCTCTTGTCGGCATAGACTCAAAACCATATATGCAGATTTCAACTAAGAAGTACCATGTACATGCAGGTGTCCATTGCAAACAGGCTATTGAACTTATTTGGCTGAAATTATCTCAAGAAGCTCGTAAGGTTAATAACTATAATACTAGAAGATCAAACTCACACTTCTGATTGAACGGATATAGAAACATGGTTCAGAAACTAGAAGCTATCAAAGGGGGTGGAGGATCTATCAGGGTGGGTACCACTGGAACCATTGGTGATCTGATGACAAGGGAGATGGAATCAATAAAACCATCCCCACAAGCATCAGCATCTGGTCAAGGTAAGCCTAGAACTATTCCTGTTTCGGGGCCCTGTAGTGCTACTACCCCTAGAAAACTACAAGCAAGAAAATCATTAGATGAAGCAAGCAGCAGCGGCTGTCGCAGCAGCATTGGTCATAGAAGCCCTGAAACTACTCGGAAAGTGAAAAGCTTCAATAAAAGCACCCATCGAATGCCAATGCTTGGCTCTGATAACAGTACTTTGGATAGAACTCCTAGTAGGGAGAAATCTGACAAGAAAGCAACTCATATTGTGGAAATTGTGGACATAAAATGTGGGAACCCAGATAGAGCATGGGCTAACCCTATAACAAATAAACTGAAGAAGCTCGGTTTCTCAAAGTTATCTGAGAGCATTGACTAAGCTTGCAACTTCTTGACATCAGATTTCAGGTTTCTATAACTGAATCTTGAAATCCCATTTGGCCGACTGCTATCAGACACTTCCACCATAGAACAAATTCTCGGTAGACGCCTGCTGCCTCCTTTCATTTTCTTTTTCGGGGTTGTTATTACAGATCCAAGAGTGGTTTTGGATTGATTACTATTTGAAGCCAGGGAAGTAACATGAGGCTGGGGCTTCTTTGAGCTTTCTCGGCAGCTTATTTCAAGCTGGCTGAAGTACTTGATTTCTTGCATTACGAGGGACCCAACAGTGCCTCTAGTGCCTATTTGTACTGGGTTTTGTGCAGCCATGTCTTCAGAGACTCTTGTGGGAATGATGCTGGATTTATGCATGCTGTGTTTGTTCAGTTGAAGGAGGCTTGCAGATGAAGAGAGCTGGTTGATGGTCTCTCTCTTGGTGGGCAAATTGCTTTGAGACCGTGCCATCTAGTGATTGCCTTTATACTCGGTGTTATCACTTGAATTCTTCTTTATCTGAAGCGAACAGCATTACATTTTATAAATTAGATGGTGACATTGTCATTGTATTCATGTGCTTGCAGTTAAAACATTTAATTTGCTAACCACTGTACTTTTTTTTTTTATTGGCTCTCTTTCACATGTTGATCTTTCCATGTTTTGGCTATGACCTGAGAATATGATTGGCAACAGCACTAAATTATCTGATAACAGCTGCATAACAGGGCCATTACATGCCATCCAAGACCCAACAATCCAACTTAGCTCCCTGGTCCTTGTCAAAATGATTATGTGAGAGATCCAAAGGGAAAGATGACTTCTTTCTTCTCCATTTTTAGAAGGTTGTTATTTTCTTCATGTCTTGAATGGTAAGTGAAGAAAGGGTAAAGGAAGGATTGTAGTTTGGTGCATCAACTTGAGTGCTTTTGAGGAATGGGGGGCAGCCGTTGCTTGTTCTGCTCATCGTGGAAGGGCATGGGAAAGATAACAGCGGCGTTCCTCATCCGTCACCGATTGTACATGTGACAGTTGATTTCCTCAGCTGCTTGTTCTTTACTTGCTTGGTGAGAGTAAATGGCATTAAAGAAACCACCTCACAATTTGGTATGCCTGCAAATCAAAGGGGACTGTTGGAGCAGCTTATGTGGGTAAATTTACTGACACCTCTTTAATTTTGCAGAACAAAGAGAAACCCACTTTTCTACCCAGAGAACTTTGTCAGCACAAGTTGAGGGAACCACCACTGCATTATTAGTTTTAGACTGGCTCCGTTTCACCTTTGCAATGCTGTATCTTCCTGTTTGTTGTCTGTGAAAATGTAAGAATATATTCTGAATAAAACCATACGCATAGAAGAAAATACACAAAGTATAAACATGAATAATTTTTTTTTATTCAAAACCACTAAATTTTAATGTGATTGTATTAGCATTGTAATTTTTTTTAAGATACATGAGCCAAGTATTAATAATACATATACAAATAAAAATGCTGATTTGTTATTCGACCAAGAATTTTTTTTTATAATATTTTTAGAATTTTCAAAATATATAAATCCTTTTCTTTAAACGAGTAAGAGATGGTATAAGAAAATCACCAAGGATCACTTATAAGAAATTTAATTTAATTACATATAAAATGTATAAAAATTAAAAACATGGACATGATTTATGATTTTTTATTGTTTAAAGGAGTATTTTTATATATAAATATTGGTAGTGGTGGTAACAAGAAATAACAAAACTTTTGTCATAATTCAATTTTAATTTTATTTTCAAAAATATTTTTTAAAATAAAAATTTCTTAAAAGATCAGAATTCAAAATAAAGGAATTTAAAACTTAAATTTAAATTAAATAAATTTAAAATTTGAAAAGATTTTAAAATTTAAATTTCAAAAAATATGTACAAAATGAAACGGGAGGAGAAAATTTGAATTGAATAAAATAGCAAAAAAAAGGAGAGGAGATAAAAAAAATCAAGGGAGAAGATCGAAAATTTTTAGAGAAAAAAAAAAAAAACCCTAGCCTATCTTAAGAGGTCTCCTCCAAAACAAGCTCTCTTCGCCCAAATTGATCAAATTCAAATGAACAAACCACCGCGCATGGCCGAGATTAGTGGCTGCAACCACCACAGAGCCGAAGAACTTTTCTCATATTATATTAGTAATTATTTTTAAAGTATTTTTTATTTTAAAATATTTTATTTATTTATTTTTAATACCATCACTTCAAAACAATATCTAAATACTCAAAAACAATTAATTTAAAACAAGAAAATTACATTTTTTTAAATTACCTTTAAAATACAAAAATAATTAGGTTTTAAAACACACAACAACCATCATCTAAAAGAGTAAATGGTGGTGAAAAAATAACAAAGAATCTTGTTTGTGTGTGTAATTCAAGAATCTAACTTAATAGTTTGATAAATTTTATTATTATAATTATTAGATTTCTTTTTTACCTATTTTAAAGCATTTTCAAAGTTTTAAATGTCAAGATAGATAGATAGGGTGTCAATAAGTAACTATATAGTTTAAGAGAATTAAGAAGTTTAATCTATATTATTTAAAATTTTATTTGATGTGTGTGTGTGTCTATATATATATATATATATATATATATGAGAAAAACATGATTAACATATTTTATAGATATTATATTAATATTCCAGTCCTTTTCTTGTAATTATGAATTAGAGATAGGGTTTTTTTCTTATATAAATATTGATATATATTTTATATTGTGATATTAAAAATTATTTATATAGTAGAAGTCTTTTCTAATTTTAGCTTGTAGAATTTATTAAAATAAAATAATGTATTTGATATTTATTAATAAAATTCTCTTAATGCATATAATAATTCTTAAAATCTAAGGATATTTTTGTCGAATTTTCGACAGAATTAGTAACTTTTTTATATATTTATGAATTTAATTTTTGAGTTGGGTCATTAGAAACTCATGGCCCATAAAAACAGCCCACTAGCTATCTAGCAAAGGGGCAAACGAATCCAGGAGATAAGAAGATTGAGGATCATTGTTAGCCACCTGATGAGCATACTATAATAAAGGCTGATTTTTGGATTCCCACCATGTAAGCAAAACACTCTATCCTAGCCTCCTCTTCACTTGTGCCAAAAAAGATGAAAAAAGAAAAAAAGAAAATGAAAAGACAAGACATGTGTGGATAGAAAGTGAAGTTGATAACATCAGTTCCACGGTCCGTTTTTGAGCTCTTAGAAAACACAGTTTAGTTGGTTATGGCTTCAATCCTAAGTACAACCCATCTTTTTCTCGCTTCCAATCCTCAAAGTTCTCAACTTTTTTTGCCTAAACTCAATTCTCAGTTTCTGGTTCTTCAAAGTAATGTTGGTTGGTTAAGACCCTGTAGAATTGGACCCTCCAATGGGTCAAGAGCAAAGTGCTGGTTCAAATTTGGTAAAAATGGTGTTGATGCTGAAGGTGCTGGCATTTATGGCAGCCAGTCCCGTGATGACTTTGACAGAGATGATGTTGAGCAGGTCCTCTTTCTTTCTCTCTCTTTTGACACTTTAGCTGCTGTGAATTCATCGCATTGTTTGTTACTTTATGGAGTATGTAGTTTACCTGGTTTGTTAATGGCGAATTCAAAGAGCTGTTGTGGACTAATCATGTTGTGCTCTTATGCTTAATGACATTCTAGTAGTAAATTTAACAGTTTCTAGTTTATAATTGAGATTGGAGCTGTGAGATTATGGGCAGCTTCTCTCTGGTAGGTTTGGAATGACAAGTTTCTTGCTTGTTAGTGTCGCTTTTTTCTGATAATCTAAAATTATTTAGAAGAAACAGATCTATTTTATATTTCTATTTCGGTCTCTCTTTTTTATATCTGGAACACTAAACTATTAATATTGTCGGTTTTATTTGTAATAAAACTTAAGACTCTTGGAGTCTTCAGCATTTCTGGGAGAAAAAATCAAGAAACTTAGAGAAGTTGTAGACAGATTAAATGAGAACATCATATCAAATTAGAAGTTAAAACTTGAGTTTCCTTAAGGTTTAGCGATCAGCAAAGGTTAAGTGCCAGCAGAGTTCCAACAATAGCTATCATCTCCTAACATTTCTGCTTTCAGAAGAGCTTGAACATTGTCACTCATGCCCAGGCTTGCCTAACTGCTTCAATTGGCTTATAAAGGATAACTGATAGGCTTCTGTATGTGAAGTTAATGCTGTTGTTACTCCATTGTAACTCTCTTTCTATTTCATTTGAGGATTCTGAATAATAATGCATTTGCATCATTTTCTTTGTATTTCATCTGGGAATTCTGAATATTCTCATTTTCTTTTTTCCTTGGAGTTATTGACATAGTTGTAAGACCTGGCACGGGTCCGACCTGGTAGAGGGCTAGGGTCAATGGGTTGCAAGGTTAACCCGCGGGTTACCTGTCAAACCGGATCCATTTTTTTATATCAAAATAAGGTTGTTTCGTTCTTTTTTCTCCTTTTCAATGTTCTAACAACTCTTTGCTTTAATTAACTCAGCGTGTGTAACTATTATTACTGTGGAAATGTTGTCTTGGCTAAAAAATCTGTTCTAATTTGCAGTACTTTAACTATATGGGGATGCTTGCCGTCGAAGGTACATATGACAAGATGGAGGCTCTTCTGAGTCAAAACATCCATCCAGTGGACATCTTATTAATGCTGGCTGCTTCAGAAGGTGACAAGCCGAAGATTGAAGAGCTGTTGAGAGCTGGAGCAAGTTACGATATCAAGGATGCAGATGGACGAACTGCACTTGATAGAGCCAATGAAGAAACCAAGGATTTCATCCTCGGTTTATCTGTTCGCAAGGCGTGATTTAGATAAATGTGCTCCCTTCCTTTACTGTTACTGTAACATGTCGATTTGGCTGTTTTATTTTGCAACAAAAGTTGTCATATAGTCATGGATTTTTTTTATTCGACGGCTGGTATCATAGTTACAAGATCCAATCCCCCCCTTTTTTTAGCCATGTTCAATAGACACAGATATTAGCAATATTTTCGCATTTTGCAATGAAAGAGTGAAGGCAAAGGAAGTTGTGAGGGATCGAGAGTCAGCGCAAA